CAGTGAGAGGGACATCAACATAACTAAAAAAGGATAAAGAAATCTTAGCTGTGATCTTCAGCTCGATGATCTCTGACGATGTTAAACACATAACATTCACACAGTTATTTAATCACATGTGTGTGTCTGTGTATATCTGTGTGTTGGCTTTAGCTACAGAGCGTGTTGCACAAGTAGTTTAAGGACTATACCTTCAGTTTTTAGATCAAGCACAGCGCTCTGTATCTGAGTTTGTTTTGCTGAGTTTACAGCTGCAGGCTTTAAGGGTACATACTATACATTTCTGGTTGTCCACGGTTACCACCAGCTGATACGTGCATGATAGATACACACGGTGAGGTGGAATGGGGAAACTTCAAGGCAGTGTTTGAAGAAAAGTCATCATGCATAATGAAATATCAACACGTTTTAGTGTGCAAGTCCGCAAAAACTCTTGAAAGAAATGTTCTAAAGGCTGCATTTAATTCTAATTCTTACAGTGGATCTAATAGGGATCACGTGTAGCTAAGGCGTGGCGGCAGATTCCAGATAATGGATCCGCTACAACCCGTTTCACAACAAGTTCAAACTGACAATTCTAAATCTTAAAACTATGAACATTATAACTCATCACAGGAAGACACATCCCGCTCTAGACGGTATGGAAACATCAGCTGAGAGATGGATTGTGCATTACTCACTTTCCTCAGATGTGAGGTCGGGGTAGACGTCAGCCAGAGCCGCCCACAGCCGGCGTTCATCCACGAAGGGCAACAAGGCCACACCTTGAAAAAAAAACAAAAAACGTGTCAGTGGAGTTCTTGGAAAAGTGAGTTCATGAATTCAAGTTTCTGATGCAAAACTGCTGGAACATAACAGCTTAAATACATCCTCCTGCTTTTCACTGCAGGGTTATATTTTTGTCTCACCCTGCCAGGCGTATTTCTTGCCGTTGAGATCGATGGCAAAGTCATCGGGGTAGAAGTCGATGATGGAGGAATCCTGTGTGAAAAGAAGACGAAGGACATGAAGACGCCAAAGCTGAAGAAAATCAATTCAGACCAAGGTTGTCCGCTCTGGAAGGAGTCTGATTCTGTGGCAGACATTTCTTCTTGTTAACCAAAGTATTTTTTTTTGATCTCTCTGCACATGACACTTACCGGACTGCTCATGAGAACTCGCCACGTTTCAGGCAGGAAGTTACCGCTGGCTGCAGGAAACACTCCCATCAGCTGCTCCAGGGGCTTGAACTGGACACGACAAAGGCACAAACATTACAAAACACGGTTCTCAGCTGGTGGGTCAGGACCCAAAAGTGGGTCGCTGGGAGGTTTTCAGTGGGTTGCAGATGCTTTTACATGTTCTTTAAAATAAAAGTGCAGCATAGACATTTTTGCCACAAGGTTTGTTTCCCCCTGGCACTGCGTTATGACTAAACAAACCCTAATACATGTTCTCTTTCAAATTACAGCATAGACAAGCATGGTTCTCAACTGGTGGGTTGGAGGCCAAAAGTGGGTCCTAAAGTGTTTTTTAGTGGGTCACAGATGTGTGCCATGAAAAAAAAAACTTGTGGCAAAAAGTCTATGCTGCAGTTTCATTTTAAAGAACGTGTGTGTGTGTGTGTGTGTGTGTGTGTGTGTGTGTGTGTGTGTGTGTGTGTGTGTGTGTGTGTGTGTGTGTGTGTGTATGTGTCAGTAGGTGGCGGTGATGCACTTTAACGCTGGTGATCTCCCTTCAAACGACAAGAGAGGAAGACGAAGTACAAAGTCTGTTTTTAACAATCTGTCAGCTGGTAAACAAACCAAAACAATGAAATCTGTTTTTTCTGAGATCAAGCTGCAAAAGAGAAAACCAGAGAAGAAGAGAAACGAGTTGTAGGCGTGTGTTCTTACAGGTTTGGTGTCCTTCTCGAAGTCGGTGAACATCCCTTTGATGTCTTTGAAGTCAGAGGCAAACGGGGCGTAGTGAAACGGGAAGTACCACTTCCAGGAGGCACAGCCCTGCAGAGCGACACAGAAACAATCCCGGGATTTTAAACACACACACACACACACACACACACACACACACACACACACACACACACACACACACACACACACACACACACACACACACACACACACACACACACACACACACACACACACACACACACACACACACACACACACACACACACACACACACACACACACACACACACACACACACACACACACACACACACACACACACACACACACACACACACACACACACACACACACACACACACCACACACACACACACACACACACACACACACACACACACACACACACACACACACACACACACACACACACACACACACACACACACACACACACACACACACACACACACACACACACACACACACACACACATGCATTAATCTTTTAACTTAGACTGCAACTCTGAAGTATCTGCATGAAAGACTGATCTGATCATCGATAATCAGAGTTAATCACATTACAGCTAAAGGCGTCACATCTTGAAAACAGGTCGTTCAAAAGAGAAAAGGGTAAAAAATCTGATAACGCAAATTTATAATTGGTGGTGGACGTGTTCACCATCAATTTTCATGGTGATGGCAGTCATTGCATGGACCAGAATCACCTGGGTTCTGGTTTAAATGAAGGGGGGGGGAGCCTAAGAACGAAAGCTATCTGTTGACCGCCTCACTACACTGAACTCCAATCACACGCTGATCTTAAGATCTGCTAACTGGTACCAGCTGTCAATATTTTTTTTAAAGAAACGGTGAAACATCTTGGATCAGGAAGTGAATTATTCTGACAGCACGTCATGTGTTTAGTCCCTCACCATGACAACCTGCACGGGCCGATAAAGCCTCAATGACATCACATTATACAATTAGATTCCGGTCTTCAGGCGGTTAAAACATCCAGTTTGTGTCGTTTAAAATCTTTCAGCAGGAGTGGGTTAACTGGGATCTAAACGAGGCTGATTCATTCTGGGTGACTGGAACAAAATGGGTTCAAGCTTTTCAAGACGTCAGCTGATTCCTTTGTTTGAAACACGAGGAGGCTGACAGGAGAAACTCCGGGTAAAGTCCAAATAACAAAATTCGGCTGACTGCGTTCACACATGCACACGAGTTTTCTACCAGAGTGAAAGCTCTATAGGAGGAGAATTAAGAACTCAGAATCTCCATTTCAAAAGTGAATTTTGAAGATGCCTTTGAGCAGCCTAGACAGATTTCAAACTGTTGACCTTTATCAAATCTGGCACATTTTTTTGCACAGGTGTTTACACAAAAAGCACTTTTTTCCCCCTTCATGTTCAGACTGTATTTCATGGTCTAATCATGTTTCCCCTCTTCACTTCATTCTCACATTTTTTGTGCACCTTCACAGCAGGTCAAATTGCTCCTGATCCTGAAAAGACGATAGTTGCAGATCGTCACATTTCAGACGCTGGAGTCGGACACGTCTACAGGTAACGGCTGCGTGTTAGTCGTTGGGTTGGATTTGTTGTGCGTGGAACTCTTTCATCTCCAAGGTTATGCTTGGAGCAATTTATTGCCGAACAAGCAAAAAAATTAAACACGGTTAAGGAAGACCGGGAAATGAAAAGGAAATAAAACCTTTTCTTTGCCCTTTTTACCCAGAAGTTCCTCGTCGGTGTGAAGCTTAAAATCCAATCAGAGTAGACTAACGGAGCTCAGCTGACATTTAAAAGCTCGGGTAGAGCGTGTGTTTCAAACTAAAACCGATTCATTTTTCCCCTTCTCTCTCAAACTCTGATGTTGTTTTCAATCTAAATTGAAGGAAAAAAAACTCATCCAGTCCTCGGATGTACTGGACTGTACCCAAAAAGCTGAAGTATCTGATGATAAAAAAAATCCTCCCCTACACCTGCCGAGAGGCTTTCACATCTCTGAAACAGTTCCCTCCCTGAGCTCTGTGTTTCTCAAATGTTTATGTAGAAGCAGAAACGACAAGAAACAGAAATAAAAGAAAATCTAATCCTTCAGATCCAGCGTTTGGAGCACTTATCCTTCCTGAACAAACACGTCTCACACCAAAAGAACGACCTTCACTTCCCACAATCCACCTCTGAGAAAAACAAGGCCCTCTGATAAACCCTCGCATCTCGGCCAATCTCAGCACTCTATTATTAAACATGCTCATTCAGATGATAATATGGGACTTTACCATGATAAAAGCCGGAGGAGGCTCCCCGTCTTCACATTCAAATAATCGCACAAATCGTTTATGTTAATAACACGCCATGTTTCGCCCTCCGAGGGGGAGACTCGTGTGTGACTGCGGACGCCGGGTCAAAGATCGGGAACGCACACATAAAATTAAAAAACATCTAATTCACTGTCCTGATTTTGGAAACAAATCAACACGCAGAGGAAAGACATCTAATTTATCCCTCGTCGTTTAATTAGATTTTATCTGGAGGTTTTCGTCTGTCGACTTTAGTAGTTAAATAAAATAAAAACAGGTCTTTTATGTAATGCCTTTTCTTTCAAACAGGATTAGCATGAATTGTATTTACGCTTTAACGCTGTTTTAAGAGTTGAACTGAGGGAAAATCAGCGATTATTTTACTCAACATTTTCATTATTTCAAAATGAATCTGCTCGTCAGAAAGAAGTAGAAATATCTTTAATTTGGGGTCAATAATTTGAAATAAAAATGGTCGTCAGTCGTCTTTGTTTTTAAATATTCACACACAAAAAAGAAGCCCGTCCTTTCTCTGTGAGTCGGTAAGAAACTGAAGAGCTCGGAGTGATTTGTTTTCTCTTCTGTGTTTTGAATAAACCCAGCTCTGCGTTCCCTGATCACTCGGCGAGGTGTGCGTGATCATAACTCTGCAGCGGCGGCAAACAGAAGCGTGAATGTGTTGAAGCGGTGAGCAGACACGTCCCCCCCCCGCACCCCCCAACTCCCTCCCCGCTCCATCCGCTGAAGAAGGCCCCGCTAATGAATTCTTCCAGAACAGCCCCCCGAGATGGGCTTTGGATTGGCGAGCGTGCAGAGTCAACACAGAGCGTGCATACACACGGCTCACAATCAGCCCGACAAATCCCCGCCGGCTCTCCTGAAGAGGGCCCACAGCTGATTATTTCATTTCAAGATAAAGATCAATATTTCACTACAATAAAATGATTTAGTGTTTAATCACACGGCAAACAATGAGAGGAGATATCAGAGACGGCGGCGGGGAGGTTTATTTGACAGAGACACTCGACAGAGAGGACTTCTTGACTCCACACATAAAAAAGAAAAAAAATTAAACGCGTCTGTAAAAAGACTCGCTCCTTTGTGAACGAGCGGTTATCATGAAAAAGAAATCAAATGAATGAGGTTTGAAACTGTTTCTACAATCCCGCAGTAACATCTTAAATCTCTGAATACACATTTTTCTCTTCATCAAACCTGTTCAACATCCAGGACAGTTTTTAATTTCCATGAGAGGAGAAAGGTCAGGGAGACATTTTTTTAACAGTTTCTAAAGAGTCTGCGCTGTGAAAAATTTTACTACAGCTTTAGTAGTTTCATTTTCACAGTGAAAAAAGCTTTTTACCTCTAAAAAACATTCAATCACTCCAGAGAACCGCATTATCTGAATCTCTTATAGGACTCTTCTGTGTTAAATATCAGAGACACCATACTGACAATGATCCTATTGGAGCTTTTGGTTCACATCGCTATAGAACACAATTCTATCATTTAACAACCCCCCCCCCCCCAGGGGGTGTCAGGTTTTAGTCTGGCTCGGGTCGGTTAGATGTCAGGTTTTAGTCTGACTTGGGCCAGGTAGATGTGAGGTTTTAGTCTGACTTGGGGCAGGTAGATGTCAGGTTTTAGTCTGACTTGGGCCAGGTAGATGTCAGGTTTTAGTCTGACTTGGGCCAGGTAGATGTCAGGTTTTAGTCCGGCTCCATCAATGTCAACACACAACTCTGATGTAAAGTCACATGATCTTTAACTTCAGATAATATTGTTGTGTAGAAAAGCGGTCAGTGTTACCTGGTAGTAGTAGCGCAGCACCCAGCAGAGACCCTCCACATACGACTTCACCACCTTCTTCCTGAACTCCTCGTCGGTCACACACACGTCAAACTTGGTCTTGTAGTATCTCTGCTTCCAGCCTTCCTCCCACAACCTGCACAACACACACGGTTATAAAACTTACTCATGGGAAACATTTTCAGCATGCAACTGGTTTCCCTGGAACGTAATGGAAAAAAACCTTCTAGGTTTCACTCGTGAGGCTGCTGTGGCTTTCACATTTTATTTCCCATTACTTTCTCTGTTTTTTGACCTTGAAAATTAATGTATTCTGCTGTTGAACATATTTGTAATGTAAATGTGCCTAAAGGAAACATTAGCTTATTAAAGCCACTGGTTTGGAGGATGCTGCTGCTGCTCGTGTTAATCTATAGGCCGAGAGAAAAACTGCATTAAGTTCCAGTCGGCTGCTGGAACAGTTTAATGGCTTTGACTTCTTGGTAGATTTGGGGCGTCGATGCCGTTCTGCTCAGATAATCAAGCCGGTCCAGCATCTGTGCGGTGGATCCTCGGAGCGGCCCGCGGGGAGCGCCGGCTCCTGAGAGGAAAGCCGCCATGAATACCAATTTAGCCCCGTGGATTTAGTAGCTCTGACAAGTGCGTCACAGAGGAATTTACTCGAATATTTCCTGCTTTCCATATTAATCACGTGCAGAAGGAGGTGGGAGCTACTTAGCAGAGGGGTTAGAGTGTGTGTGTGTGTGTGTGTGTGTGTAGGGGAGGTGGTCGAGAGTTAAACAGCTTGTGTTGCAGCTCGCTGGCATTAATGAGTTTCTGGTTGTGTTTGTTAACGCTTTGTTCTCTGACTGAAGCCGGTCTGTAAAGATTTACCTTCAAAGCATTTAACTAAGCTACACGCTCAGTGTCAGGTGGACACTTTGATTTCATAAGTTAACCAGCGTCAACCGAAAATACCCCGTTAATGCTGAATTTATCTGACTGTAACATTTTCAAGACAAAAAACACAGAAACAAGACGGAGTTCAAACGGATGCAAAAATACTAGATATCAAATGAACAATGTGAAACCAATATTTTGTCATAAAATAAATGTCAAAACAACAAAATTGTTATTCATGTTTAGCTTCATTTCCCTTGTTGTTGCTTTAAAAAGCTGCTGTGTTGACAGCAGAGTAGGTTGACAGCAGGGTAGTTTCACAGCGACTCCGCTATTTGTACATTAGGGCAGCCAATCAGAAGCTGTGTCTAAAAGGGCGATTTGGATGCTTTACTTTGATTGGTTTATGATGAGAGATAGTCGAGTTTGATGGTTTTGTTACAGACTTAACAAAACCTAATAAAAGGGTGTGTGTGTGTGTGTGTGTGTGTGTGTGTGTGTGTGGTAAACATTTACAGTTCAACAATTCATCCCTGCTGCTGTAGCCTTTACAATAACGTTATCAAATCCATGTTGAAAGTCTCACTGGGTGTAGTTCGTATCCAGTCAGTTACACAAATTATTCATGTTTTTAATATGTTGGCCCCTGATGCCAGTCAAACGTTGTGCTCAAATGGCATTGCAGCCAACCGCCACTAGACGGAGCTGCCGTCAGAGACTAGCTGCACCTCTGGGTTAACCTCTGGGCCTGCTCTTCCCGCTCTACTGCCAAGATGTAAACAAGCAGAGACAGCATGTATCAGGAGCAGTGCGGTTGGACGGTTTGACAGTGCAATCCACCAATAACTTAAACGTAAAAGAAGAACGTGAGACAGAAAACAAAAGGTCACAATGGAGGATGTCCAGCACAGGTCTGCACCTCTGAGGTCATCCATGAAGCGGAGCTACGCGCTAACATTAGTCGCAAAAAAGCTAGAAATTATATTTCATATTTATATAATATTTAAACATGGCGTGTTTTGTGTTTGTCCTATTACCACTGTCGCACAGGAAGTGACGATTCTGACGACCAATTAACGGACGGCAGTGTGTCTAGTCCAACTTTTAGGGTCGGATCGGTACACGTTGCAACTAGACCAACGAGTAGCAAAAAAGTAGGACGGTACGGGTCGGTTATTTTGGTACCATTCCCAACTTTTTACAGTGGAAACACCAATAAATGTGTAAATAAACACACAGAAATATGAACCTTGACCCTGACCTCCACGTTGACCCCTCCCCTCCCCTCCCACCCCAGCTTGTGCGAGTTTACCTGACGTTGTCTTCAGGCTCCGGCTCGCTGTCGCTGTCCTCCGCTTTCCTCTTCACCCCCCTGCTGTCTGAGCCGTCGCTGGGACCTGCAGACGACTGAGCGAGCAACAAACCAAGGACAGAAAAAAAAAAAAAAGGGAAAAAGACCGATTAGAAAACAACAAAACTAGAAGAAAAAAAAAGGACATGTAGGAGATGTTTTTTTGACGCAGAATTGGAGCTTTAGAAGTCTGATTCCTTTTTTTATTCCACGGATTAAATTTGAGTTTTTCTGAGTGACACCTAAATGATGTTTTAAATACTACAATCATGCGAGCCTGCATTTATATTCATAGTTATGTTCTCTCTGCGCTGCCGTCTGTTTTCAGTGCTTGAAGAAAAATCACCACCTTACCTTAACCTTCCTTTTCCCAGAAGCCTTTGTGCTTCTTTTCATTCATGTGCTAATGTATGGCTGGCTATTGTTACTGCCGCTCAGTTTAAAGCTGAACACGGGCAGCAAAATTTAACAGTCAATCCGAGTAGAGGCAGTAAACCGAGCCCTGAGACATCGTCCACATTCACACAACTTTTAATATACATGACAAAAGACGAGACAATCGGAAACAATCTTCAGACGTTTCAAGGATTTTCTACGTCGCCTACTGCTCAAAGATTTCAGATCAAAGCTCGATAAACTGAAAAAAAAAAAAAAAAACCTTTGTCAGGGGAAGTTGTGGATATCAATTTTTAATAATTCTACCTGCACAGGATGAGAGGCATTTGGAAAGTCAAATTTGGATCTCAGACCCAAGTTTTAAACGCTCCACTAAAGTTGTATATCAACACTAACCCCAGATTTCCACATACTCCAGCAGCGCCGCGTACTACACCACAACTACTGCAACTCGCTGAATTTTTGTGTTTTCCACGGCGAGCACCGCAGTCCGTCTCCGGAGAGAGCCAGGCAGCGCCACTACGCTCTGTTTCTAAAATACGCTGTGAGTCTTTTCCGACGGAGCTCGCTGTGAGCAAGCAAAATGCAACAACCCAGACAGGAAGTCGGAAAAATACACTCCAAGATCAATTTCAAAATAAAACAATGAATTGCCCCAGGATCGTATTTTCCATTATCTTACAGATTGCTTCTTTAAAGGTAATTCTTAAAATGAATCTTTTATCATCACTTAATTCAAAATGTAACTGTTCTTTGTTTTTTTTTCATAATTATATGATGAAGGCGAGAATAAAACTGACACCAGTGTGTGATGATGAACTCACATTTCCTCCGTTCTTCATCATGGCCTTCATTGACTGAGCAGCGTCCTGCAGAGGAAGAAAAAAACATCATGATCGCACGACTTCAGAGACAAGACTTCGCTTATTTAAGATCTACAAAAACATGGTGAGAAAACAGATGCACAGCTCTAACTGCGGTTGTGTTCAGTGTTGACAGTGAACACAGTGAACATCTCTTAAAAAGTGTTATAATGAATCTCCTCGTCTTGAGTTTACCTTGTTGGACTGCATCCTCATGTCGTAAGCCTGATGTCGAGCATTCTGGACGGCCTCGGGCCGGTCTCTCCTCCCCAGCGCCTGAGGGGCAAACTGGCCTGAGGTCAGGTAGGCGGGGCCTCGCTGCTCTGCCTGTGCCTGTCATAAACACAGAGGGGACACACTTTAAAACCATTACGCCTTTTTGTCCATCAACATCGTCAATCTTTTGTATCATCCATTACTTACTTTCATTCTCTTTTTCTTTTCTTTATTTCTCCTCTTAAAGCCTTCCTGAAAGAAGACAAATGTGGAGAATCATCAGGGTCAATCTGACACGTCGGAAACACAAAATACTGTTCCTACAAAATAAAATATTTCTATACCTTCAGCAACAACCTGGTGGTCGACGCCCTTACATCATTAGACATTTGCCTTTAAAAAGCTGGCATGAACTCCGACTTGGAAACTCTGAGCAACGTCAGTAGTCTGCGTTAAAATCCAACGTGGCGGCTACGTGTCTCAACAGTCAAGTTTAAAGATATTTATTCAGCTCTAAGTCCTTTTTCATCACACCAAAAGCATCGTGTAAGTTCTCTCTGTGGACGTGTTTTCATGTCATTTTAGTGCAAAAACTATCCCGAATGTGTTGTTATCATCTGGCATTAGCTAACAAAACAAAGGTACTCCTGGAAGCGTCCATGTTTCTTATCTGCACCCGAGTTCTGAGGTATAACTGAAAGCGTCGACCAAATGACACGAGAGTTTGTTTTTGGTTTTTTTAACTCGTGGGCAGGTTTGTTATGAGGTAGCAGAACTAAAGTTGTAAAGCGTTTCAGCAGCAGTAAGAGGCGATTAAAACGAGGTCAGCCTCAGGCAGGAAAAGGCCGTTTTCCCATTGGTCAGATTAGATAACACGCCAACTGTCAATCACTCAGCAGCGGCCAATCAGGTAACAGTACCTGCAAAACTTTCTGGAATAACGTTAAGAAAAAATAAATAAAAAAGAAGAAGAAAGGTGATGAACACGGACATCAGCCAATCAGACGACCTCACTAGAAAAACAAATAGGAAGTGGGAGGAGCTTCCAGGCCTCAAAGCGGAGGAGTTCAAACCCAACAAGGGACGTCTCTTTCTCCGAAGCTACTCGAGACATGGCTGTCCGCTCATTATCGATCTTTGATGAGAATTGTAGGTGTATAAAAAAAAAAAAAAAAAAAAAAAAAAGGATGAATCCCAAACAGTTGGCCACTTAGACGGTTATAAATATAATGCAAGTCTTGGGGTGCTGGTGGCTCAGTGGTTAGTGCACCAAGCGGGCGTCCCAGGTTTGAATCCCACCTGTGGCTCCTTTCCCTCATGTCATTCCCCACTCTCTCATCTCTCCATTAAAAGGCACAAAAAGCCCAAAAATAAATCTTTAAAATAAATTTCTTCATAAATTACAGAAATCTTACGTCATCCTCTTTGCGTTTCTTGAAGATGTTGTCCTCGGCCACGCCCACAGCCTGCATGATCATCTCCACGCGCTCCAGGTCGACGAAGCCGTTCTCTGTCAGGTAGCCCTACAAGAAGAAAAAAAACACACATACCCTGGTTGTTATTGACGCACAGAACCAGACAGTCAGAAGGACTTCAAAGATTCAAGTTAGAAAAACACAAAGTCTGGATGATGCTCACTCCTGTTTTGTGCACGACGTCTTTGTAGATGTTGACGAGTCGATCGATCGCCCCCTCTCTGTGGGACACAACACAAGCGGAGAGTTACAAGTCACATCGACCTGACACCATCAGACACTTCATCAGGTAACCAACCAACATTCAGATCTCTAGTTTTCTTCTAATGAATAAAAAACACTAAAGACAAAGAAAAGAAGTCTGAGCTTCGCCCCCGGATTCATTAGGACCCGAGTTAAAGGTGAGAGTGAAGTGTTGGCAGGTTTACCATCACTGTGAAAGGGAGTATTCAGACTGTATGTGCACAAAGAGCAAAGAAAACACCTGCACGGCTTCAAGGAAAAACACTGTCCTGCAATTAACCCCGTCTTTGACAAGCTTAACGACGTCTGGATACTTTGTTTAGGGTCAAGGCTGAAATAATGGAGCAGGCAAGCCGCAGAACAAACACAGTAATTACTTAAAGTCTAAAAGATAGTTGAGATTTAAAAAAGACCAGGGCTTAAAGGACCAATCTGCAAGACATCGACTGAGGATATAATAAGGCAATTTTGATATTTAAATGAGACATTAAGGAAACATGCTATGTTGAAGTGCAGCAGCCAGTATGTCCTCCTCCTAACTTTAGATTCTGCTCCTGAATGCTCTGGATTTGTTTGGACCAGAGAAGGTAGGCGCTTTTAAGGCGACGCCCACACCACACAGCCGTTTTGGACGCCCCTCGGTTTGTCAGATATGAGAGCAGTTATCAGGTCAACAGGTGTTGCAGTGATGGAAGCGGACAAGAGAAGTGGTTCAGATAGAAGTGATTGTACCCGACCTAAAAAGCCTCTGCATGTTTCTAAGCTCCACGAGCAGAAACGTGCTCAAACTAGGATCAATATTGGAGATGCTTTTGAAAAATGGAGAGAGGTTAGAACACAGAAAGGTTTACAGACCCATGCAGAGCTGGATAAACACTGAAGCTTCAGAGTCCACCACATGGTGACCTGTGTGAGCATCCACTCTAAAGAGGAGTGCACTGCAATGTTTAGAATCTGGACTGCAGTACCCATTTTAAACACTAGGTGCCAGAGCTACATATCGCGCCTTGAAAACTGCGAAGATCAAATCACAAATCAGCTATCGGCAGACAGCTCTTTCCTGACCCTCACCTGATTTCCAAGGACGGCAGGTGGGGCAGGAAATCGTTTCCGACGAAGAAACACATGAAGACCCAGTCGTCCACGCTGCGCTCAAAGTCGAAGGGAAACGGCAGACTGGCCATGGTCAGCTCTTTTTCCAGGTACTGAGAACATGAAAGAGATGCAGATAATGTTTTACTCATCTACTTGTCACTTGTGATTCTAAAGGCTGGATTTGCCCCCTTTTTTTTTAAATGTATTTCCAAAGCACATTAACATCTTACCTCCCGCAGCACACACAGCCTGATGAAGATGAACTCCTGTTCAGACGTCGGCACTGAGCCTGCAAACTCATCATGCTGAAAACAAGAAGACAACACACAATTCTTAAACATGGCAGATTTATAAAGGGTAAAACTTTAAAGGGACATATGAGGAAAAATCCACTTGTACAGTGTTTTTGAACATATATCTGGTAACCTGAGAGTCTACTGACCCACAAATGTGAAATAAACCATCCAGTCCTTTGTTTGTGGTCTGAATAAGTCTTACAACACAGAGAAAAATGCTCTGTTTCTAATGTGCTCTCCTTGTGAGGTCACAGTGGGATTCAGGTAAAAAATAAAACTCTCCTCCCCTGGTATCTCCACCCATGGAGTGGGTGTAACTAATAAAAAAATTAAAAAAAGGTTGTGCCCACCAGAAACAGAGAAAGCTCACCTCTCCCTGTTTCTCTCTGGGCGTCCCCTGGCAGTCTTTGATCTCGTGACCTATCTGTCCGCAGAGGGCACAGGGGCGGGGCTTGTTGGGTTTGAACTCCTCTCTGATGATGGTGAAGTTTGGCTCGTGGGTAGCCAGACCGAGCATGATCAGGTCAGCTGTTAAGAGAAAGGATGTCATTTATAAAGAGGAAAGTGGACAAAGTGAGAGATTGCTGAAACTTTACATTTATTTCTCTTCAATCCAATTTCTGAAGAGAAGGTTTACCGTCGGCTCCGCACAGGCAGTGGTGTGTGTTGGGGTCGTGGTTGGGTTGAGCTGCGAAAGTGAAGCAGAAACACAAGTCAAGGAAAAGTGTTTGTGTCTCTACAGGAGGGTCAGATAGTATTTATCCCAGTTTGTTAACCTCTGAGACACAGGTCAGAGTGTCTGCTGTTATTTAACCGGCTGACATTAAAGTGAGAAGAGTGTTTTTGTGTACTCAGTACGATTATGATTTTTAAAACCTCAGAGGAGTTTTAATCATACAGCGTTATGCAGCTTTACCTCTCTGTCTCCTGATGTAGTCCATGATCTTATGTTCACCTTCACCTGGAACACTCGCATCAGACAAGATGACCTGGATACAAAGTGAAACTGCAGGTCAGCGACTATAAACACTCAGTACACTCAGTTTACTGACAATCAGGCTGCAGCATGTTAACGGCCAAGAGCTTAAAGGAAGAGTGTGCGACATGTTCCACATCAATAAATCATAAAGTCTGTCCTGTGTAAATGTGTCTCTGAGTCCTGACTGTCTACAATGAGGGAGAAGCTCGAGTCCCGCTGGCTGTGTTGTTGTCAGAGCCGTGTTTACATGGACGGGACGGCCGGCTCCTCCCCTTGTGTATAAAAGCTGTTTTAGTCAAGAACTAGAGAGAAGAAGAAGAACATACTCACTGATTATTTGGATGTTAGTAAGAGTTTTTAGATCACGCTCATTCTGTGTTAATTTACATGAAATGTGAAGCTACGAGCTAACTAAAGAGCGCTAACATTAGCATGCTAACACAACAATGTGAAGCTACGAGCTAACTAAAGAGCGCTAACATTAGCATGCTAACACAACAATGCAGGACACAGGGGATTGCAGCTTGAGGACAATTTTATCTGCTGCTAATGCTAAACTCCTTCGTGCTAATGCGCGTGGAGAGGGGTTGGAGGTGTGTCTGTGGGGGAGGGCGGAGGCTTCAGTATGGAGGAGGCGTGGCCTAACAGCAGTTTGTTTTGGTTTCATGCTGGAGCTCAAGGGCGACATCTACTGGATCATGAAGTCACACATTCATCCTTTAAAGCATTTTGACTCTTTTATCAACTGATGTGGTTTGTATAAATATATAGGACGTACTGTGACGTTCTTCCATCCTGGATCGTTGCTGAGTCTGTCTGCGACGTAGTACCGTAAACACTGTGCCAGGTTGTCCATGAACTCTGTTCCCTGCAGAAGTAAAACATCAAAACATGTTATTCTGGTGTTACAAACAGTGTCCTGGTTTATTCTCATTTCATTTCAAACCTTTATTTAAGCCTCGAGAATCATTGAGGTTTCACTTATTTACATTGATTTCAATATAAAGAAAGGAGCACAGATGAAAACAACAAATAAAGGAGGATAAGTACAAAAAGGTGTGCACTTTGGTGGAGTGGTTTGAGAATCATTAATTTGTCCCAGAGAAACAGGAATGTCAATCCAACAAGTGTGTGCTGTGAATGATTCCACATGTGTGGAGCAAAGAAGCTAAAATGCAGATTTTCTTGAAGTTCAGAGTGAAGCTGCAGGACTTGAAGCGTTGGACCGTCAGTGGAGTGAGTTTGGTCCAGTGGTTCAGATCAGCAGAGATGTTATACAAGATGTCCAATAAAGGATTTAAAGATTAAGAAGATAAATGTGGTAATCACGCCTCTGTGCCAGAGAACATTTATCATGATAATTATCCATGACATTTTTATATTGTGATAACATTTGGAGTCAAATTGCCCGGCCCTACGCAAGACCACCACTAAAACAAACAGATTACATCAAACGTTACCACAAGTGAAAAGCAGAGTGCTTAATCGTCTGGGTTATCATTTGAATCGAGTACTTTTATGGCTTGAGTAGTTTTGCCTTCTGTAGCTGTTGTCCTACTTACTGGAGTGATGCAGTTGCTGTCAAAGCGCTCTTTGATCTCCTCAGGTGGAAGATAACCTCCTGTGGATGAAAACAAAACAATGAAAGGTTACGCTGAGCTTGATGGGTAATGACTACAGAACAGATGAGCAAAGGAATAACTCCATCAAACCCACCTCTCTGGATGATCTCCTCCCGTATGCGGCCCTTCTCCTCCTGCAGCTCAACTCCTTCTTTGGAGGCACGGAAACGCCGAGAGCGCTGCTGGTTCATTTTGGCGCGAGGAGCCTGGTCGGATTAGACAGAGCGAGGGAGTTAATTCTACTGAGCAGCTGGGTGATTGTTTCTGCTCTCATCCAAACTTTCCTCTGGCTGCTGTTCCTATGTTAAGACAAAATACTCACCACGCCATCGATGGCCATGTAGAGGACTCTCCTGGGCCGTACGATATTGAACAGACGGTCGATGTACTCAAAAATGGCGACCATCATCTCATCTTCATTTTTGGGGGCGGCTCTGGAAAAAGCAGAATTCAGAACGTGAGTTAACAAGAATATATCAGCTTGATCTGGTTTTATTTATTAATTACTTATTCTTCCTTGTTTTTTAAAACAACAGAAAATATTTCATTTGTAGAAGTCAATCCAGCACACCGACTCTCAAATCTTCATTTCTTCATTAGCAGCTCCGGCTACGTTTTGCTGCTACAATCAAACATTCAGCTTTGATCACAGAAGGAAAATACCTCACTTGTTTTAATCAACCTGTCCGCCTCTGTACTCTCAAGGGCAGACATGTTTCAATATCAAATCATCTTTTTTTGATTAAAACGCTTACAGAGGCCGCAAAGTATTTTTTTTAAAACAGTGGAACATTTCTTTGAGCCTATGGGCGACATTTTCATTTACGCGCTTTTCTGCACTTTAGTCAAAAACCTGCACACGTCCGATCAAAGATAGAAAAGAGATCAAAGCAAGATGACGTCATGGTGACCTTCAATTATTCCATCAGGTACAGATAGGATTCGTAAGAATTAGAGATGCATCAGTATCAGCTGATATCGTCCCTGCTGACAGACATCAGCAAATAAAGTGTCATACACTGACGTCAGTAGTCGATGTTTACTTGTTGTCCCAAATCAATTGAATGCTGACATCTAGTACACCTCTCGACTGATTCAGAGAAGAGGCTTTTACTGGACAGATGATGAAGTCACCTGTTGAAAGAACCGACTTGTTTCATTGTCAAGATGAGAGAAAAGTTGGCATTGTGGGAGTCTGACACCTCAAGAAGTCATGAAACCAACATCCACATCAGAATCAGCTAAATTGCTATTTCATACATCTGTATCTGCCCTGATTCTCACAATTGGTGCATCTCAATCAAGGGTGAAAAGGTGTGTATGTTGCTTTCCTGGTAAAAACAAAAGGGCTGTCAGCATAAAGCAAAGTTTTTTTAATGTCTATACAAGTCAAGTATAAAGTGTAGGTTCCTTACTTGTCTTCTGGATGAGTACAAGGATGAATGATCCCATTCATATCCAAGTACAAATTGTCAAATTCCACCTCATTCGGGTTGGGCTTGGTCGTATCTACGGGGATGCGGACTCCGTTGCATTCTTTCCCCTGAGAAGATGAAGGAAAAATACATATCAGTATGAAGAAAGGCTTCCCACTGAAGTGTCATTATACAACCAGGCGCTAAAGATAATGGGTGACATCACTGCCTCACACTGAGAAGATACAACCTACTTAGTTTCAAAGCATAAACGATTATGTTTCCTATTTACTTTTTAATTAATTCAACAATCTGGCCCCCGACGCTCTCTCCTGATTGGCTGACAGGGTGAATGTACACTAACATACAACATCGTAGCTCTACGCTTGGACAATCAAGCTTTCTCCATGTAAGGCTGTAAACTCTTCAACACGTTAACCCAACTTAAATCAAATTAAGCCCAGAATGAAAATCTTTCACAACAAAAGTGAACGCTGTCTAAAAGCTTAACAGAGCTGTTGTATCTTAAATGTCTTATATTTACATTTGGTTATAAAATGTTTGTACTTGTGTCCTTTGTCTTGAATTATGTGCAGCCAGCACAAAGTTCAGATACTTTACTTTAGATTAATTTAATTATGAATTTGCAGAGTTCATGTAGCCTTACACACAATACCATCATCAAAAACTTAACACTATTAAATTAATATAAATGCTAATATAATTGTAAAATATAATATAAATTAATATAATTATAAATTAATATAATATAATAATTAAATATTATATATAATAATAATTTATGTAATATATAAATTATTAAATCATAATTAATTATTTAACATAATATTAAATAATTATATTTGCAATAGCTTTAAACCAGCATGTTTACTGTTTGGTGTGTATGTTAAACTGCGTAGTTCCTTAAATACAAAATATTTAAATATTGTTTTTGGAGAGATGGTCTTTAGAAACAGATTATAAAAAAGACAAATGTTTAAAGACAATGTGCCAAATCTAAAGAAGTTTATTAATAAGAGTGATCAAAGTAAACAAGGTGGGAAAACATTTAAATCCTGGATTCATTTACAAAAAATAAAAACGTTTTTAAACAGTGGGTAAATATTTATATTCTCGTCTGTTAAATGATTAAAGTTTAATTTAGAAATAAAATAATAATTTCAGTTTGAGGAGAAACAACAGCGCGCGCGCAGCTTTGTTTACAATCACACGAGGAGCTTCACAAACTGTCTCCGTTTCCGGTTAGTTAGCCTGCTAATGTCTGCCAACGGAAACATACTAACACATTTAAAAGAAGCCGTTGACACAGAAGTGGTTTAATCGAGATGTATTTAGAAAGCTTTCACGCGTGAAACCTTCCCGCTCACTGTCCACAGACTCGGCTGCTAAGCTAACATGCTAACACTCACCTTCTCCTCCACACAGTGAACAATGATCGACGCGTATTTACGGCTCAGCCAGCGGAAAAACGCCGGGACTCCCATCGCCGATAAAAGACTCTTCTTACGGTAGATTGTAAAAAAATATGTGAACTCGTACGAAACAGTTAAAACAGCTCAATTAAAACAAGAGAGTTGATGCGAATGAGTCCAGCAATGTTGGCTACATGCTGTTGACCATCAGGACATTGTGTATTGTTTCCGGTTCATATCGGCTTTTTTCCGGAGACTTCCGAGGAGCCAACAGCGCGCGCAGCGGCCATACGTGGTACTGCAGGCGTTTTCACAAGCCTGCGGTTCTCAACCATTTTACATGTAATTCTTACACAGTTAGAATGTTTAGGTGTTTGTTGCCATCTGCACAGGTACAGGACAGTACAGGTACGTTGGAATTCTTGTGCGTTTCTCCCTGAGTCAGCATCCACAAAAAAGTTAAAATTATATATAAAATAGAATATCATTATAAGAAAAAAAAGATAAGTTATAATAACAGCTAAGTGATTTAAAATAAACTGTACAGAAGCTATACACTGTATTAAAGCAAAGCTATAATACAAATAAATAACAAAGGGGAACACTGTACAATGAAATGAAAATATAAATATGTTTTCTTGTCTCTAACTTTCTACATCTCTTATTGCACCTGAGGTTATTGCACACATTATTCATATACACACTCACATTATATAATTGCACTGTTTTTTGTTTTTAAGGTTAATGTTGCACACTTGTATTGCACTGTGAGGTGGTCAACTGTTCATTTAGTCTGTGATGTGTGGGGTGAAGTACTTCCTTCCCATCTTAATGTCCTGTGCGACAAGTTGTGATTGATTTATGTACATTTACTTGTAGCCTACATTATTTAAGTACATTATTTATGTACATTATTTAAGTATACTATTTATGTACATTTTTTCTCACTGTATGATTTGTTTGATTGTTTTTAATTGTGAAGCAATTTGTGACTTGAGTGTTTTCAAAAGTGCTATACAAATAAAGTCTTACTTACTTACTTATAATATAATAATAAGAATAATAATAACTTTATTTATAAAACACAGGTTTACAAAGTGCTTTGACGAACAGCAAAAACAAGAACAAACTAAACCAAACACAGAAGAACATAAACAACAACAAGAACATAACAAATACTAAATACTAAAAATAATTAAATACAATTCAACAGAAAAGAACCCAAAGTGCACGATACACAAAAGAAATATAGAACCCAACCATCACAAGAACCATCATAAGAACCATCACAAGAACATCACAAGAACCATCATAAGAACCATCACAAGAACATCACAAGAACCATCATAAGAACCATCACAAGAACCATCATAAGAACCATCACAAGAACCATCATAAGAACCATCACAAGAACCATCATAAGAACCATCACAATAACCATCACAAGAACCATCACAAGAACCATCATAAGAACCATCACAATAACCATCATAAGAACCATCACAAGAAACATCACAAGAACCATCACAAGAAACATCACAAGAAACATCACAAGAACCATCACAAGAACCATCATAAGAACCATCACAAGAACCATCACAAGAACCATCACAAGAACCATCATAAGAACCATCACAAGAACCATCACAAGAACCATCACAAGAACCATCATAAGAACTTTCAGAAGAACCATCACAAGAACCATCATAAGAACCATCATAAGAACCATCACAATAACCATCATAAGAACCATCATAAGAACCATCACAATAACCATCATAAGAACCATCACAATAACCATCATAAGAACCATCACAAGAACCATCACAAGAACCATCATAAGAACCATCACAATAACCATCATAAGAACCATCACAAGAACCATCATAAGAACCATCATAAGAACCATCACAAGAACCATCATAAGAACCATCACAAGAACCATCATAAGAACCATCACAAGAACCATCATAAGAACCATCACAAGAACCATCACAAGAACCATCACAAGAACCATCACAAGAACCATCATAAGAACCATCATAAGAACCATCACAATAACCATCACAAGAACCATCACAAGAACCATCATAAGAACCATCATAAGAACCATCACAATAACCATCATAAGAACCATCACAATAACCATCACAAGAACCATCACAAGAACCATCACAAGAACCATCATAAGAACCATCACAAGAACCATCATAAGAACCATCATAAGAACCATCACAAGAACATCACAAGAACCATCATAAGAACCATCACAAGAACCATCATAAGAACCATCATAAGAACCATCACAAGAACCATCACAAGAACCATCATAAGAACCATCATAAGAACCATCACAAGAACCATCATAAGAACCATCATAAGAACCATCATAAGAACCATCACAAGAACCATCATAAGAACCATCATAAGAACCATCATAAGAACCATCATAAGAACCATCACAAGAACCATCATAAGAACCATCATAAGAACCATCATAAGAACCATCACAAGAACCATCATAAGAACCATCACAATAACCATCACAAGAACCATCACAAGAACCATCATAAGAACCATCATAAGAACCATCACAATAACCATCATAAGAACCATCACAATAACCATCATAAGAACCATCACAAGAAACATCACAAGAACCATCACAAGAACCATCACAAGAAACATCACAAGAAACATCACAAGAACCATCACAAGAACCATCATAAGAACCATCACAAGAACCATCACAAGAACCATCATAAGAACCATCACAAGAACCATCACAAGAACCATCACAAGAACCATCACAAGAACCATCAGAAGAACTTTCAGAAGAACCATCACAAGAACCATCACAAGAACCATCATAAGAACCATCACAATAACCATCATAAGAACCATCATAAGAACCATCACAATAACCATCATAAGAACCATCACAATAACCATCATAAGAACCATCACAAGAACCATCACAAGAACCATCATAAGAACCATCACAATAACCATCATAAGAACCATCACAAGAACCATCATAAGAACCATCATAAGAACCATCACAAGAACCATCATAAGAACCATCACAAGAACCATCATAAGAACCATCATAAGAACCATCACAAGAACCATCACAAGAACCATCATAAGAACCATCACAAGAACCATCACAAGAACCATCACAAGAACCATCACAAGAACCATCACAATAACCATCAAAAGAACCATCATAAGAACCATCATAAGAACCATCACAATAACCATCACAAGAACCATCACAAGAACCATCACAAGAACCATCATAAGAACCATCACAATAACCATCATAAGAACCATCACAATAACCATCACAAGAACCATCACAAGAACCATCACAAGAACCATCATAAGAACCATCACAAGAACCATCATAAGAACCATCATAAGAACCATCACAAGAACATCACAAGAACCATCACAAGAACCATCACAAGAACCATCATAAGAACCATCATAAGAACCATCACAATAACCATCACAAGAACCATCACAAGAACCATCATAAGAACCATCACAAGAACCATCACAAGAACCATCACAAGAACCATCACAAGAACCATCATAAGAACCATCATAAGAACCATCACAAGAACCATCACAAGAACCATCACAAGAACCATCATAAGAACCATCACAAGAACCATCATAAGGACCATCACAAGAACCATCACAAGAACCATCATAAGAACCATCATAAGAACCATCACAAGAACCATCATAAGAACCATCATAAGAACCATCATAAGAACCATCACAAGAACCCAGGCAACACAAGAACCCAACAACACGAGCTGAGACCAAGAGGACCAAAGATTTAAAAAGATGTAAGAAACTAAAAGAGATAAAAGTAAATAAAAAGATAACAGCAATAAGAAGGTAAGAGCAGGAAAAGAAATAGAAACAAGTGAATAAAGCCACGCTCATTATAATTTTTTTTACCTTAATTGTTGTGTTTTCTTTTAATTATCATATTCGTTATATATCAATATAATGGTCAGTCTGACTCCAAGCACAGTTTCATCAAATTGAAAAGTAAGGTAATTCAAAAGCTAAATTCATTAATGAAGTGAATACATACACATACATTTGCTCACATACACACACACATAACACAGGGTAAGATGATACAGATGATAAAATAATGTTGATTTCTATTTTTAAAGGTTAAAGTTGTATCCAGGTGACCCCGTGCCCCCTCCACAGTCCTTCATTTGGCTGAATGCCACCAACATTTAATTTAAGAAACTCTATTAAGTTCCCCAATATTTCCAGTTTCCCTTTTACAATGTATGTTAGTGTTTCCATATGATGAGGTCGTTGATGTATTGGTATGATCAAATACAGGATCAGAGTGGATTTAGAACAAGAAACTTCAGACATGTAGGACATGAGGAGCGCTGAGACTTATTTACACTGAAGAAGAGGAGGAGAATATGTCACCTTTAAAAACGTGTCTTATGTTAGGAGGGCAAAATCAAACAGTTCGGTTTTTAGATAATCTGTAGGTGTTGTTGCCTTTACACTTATTTCTCATATCTCACTCACATCACTCATGATGACATCCATTGGAGTTATGTATTACACAGGCGTTTGTGAAGTTTTCAGGATGTGTATTTCCTGTGTGGACTTCTGTTGCAAACCAAATTGCCCCCTCGGGGATTCAATCCAATCTCAACAGGAACAACAATCATTGAAGGTGAGTGAACAATCATGAAGAATATGTGGATCCAGGAGGACCGAACACAAGGTGTCTCCAAACACGTTTGACCTTCATGACCTTCTCTCCACCACCATCAGGAACACACAACAGGTAAGTCTTATTAAAATGAACATAGATTTAAACAAATAAAAAACAAGAGACAAAGACAAACAAAACATTCAGCCATGATTCGTTGATTTGCTTGGATGAATGAATGACAAACTAACTGACCTTTCACCTTTGGAAGAAAATCTAGCTAAATCTAGATGAAGGTTGTTCTTGATTTGGTTGTCAATAAAGATTTGAATGTTGCACTGAGCGATAATCAACCACATATCGCCGTACGAGTGTAACATGTG